AGAGCGTTAGTAATGTACGAGTAGCACTTTGAATAAACTCGTAACTTTAAAGCAAAAGAAGAAAACTGAAATAATACTGTTCTGCAACGCGGAGATAAAAGAATGAATGCTCTTGTAATTTTCTTTGATACTCTTAATTCTCATTTACAGAACTACGCTGATTATTCTCGTTTTGCGAATGCATTTAGTGTTGTACGCGAATTTTTCACAGATACCGCTTCGACAGCTTTTGTAAATGTAACGTCAGTATATGACTTTAGACGTTTGTTAATTTTCTTTTGCGATTCTTCTCGAATTGGTAAAGATCCCTCGTGAAAACACTATGTAAAGAACAAGCAGACGACACTTGCACATTAGAGACGAAAAGTGCCGGCAAGTCCTGTCGTGGCCAAGCAATAAGGAGACGAAAGAGGATCATAAAGACGCATCGGACGTAACTCGATTATCCGCGCGAAAAGTACGAGACGACGAGCCGTTATACGACATAGTAATTCGAGAGTTGCCTCGTCCGTTCCGTTACCGTTCCCTTGTGTTGAGAGCGATTCTCTGCTGTAATTTAATCGGCTGTCGATAGACGACAATGGCGGCCGTAATCTAAAATTACTTTTTAAGAAGGGCGTCTTTTCTCTTCCTTTCTCTTTTCCCTCTTTCTCTCTCTTTTAATGACGTTTATTAGTACCAGACGGTGTCGAAACTACCGTTATAAGCCCCCTTTTTTTTCATCATAGCACACAAAAGTCCTGCTACGATGGAGAGAAGCTGGCGCGGCTTGATTTGTGAAAAGCAATTCTCGTGTGATGGCTTCTTCTTGACGGCTCGTAATGTTACACTTAGCACGACGGTAGGTTGATGGAAGATAAAAAAAAGTCCTAAGGGTAGACGGCGCCGTAAGCACCGATGACTCGCATTTGACAAAGATCTAAACTCGTTTAATGACGTTCTTACATAGTTGTATAGCTTCTTAGTTGTTTAATTACACGATTAATGAAAATTAATAAAAGGTTGATCTACACAAGAGTATCTACATTAATTGTATAAAAATGAACAAAAATCCGATCCAAGAGCAGATGACGTCGTTGAATAACCCACACAAAGATCTAAGCTCATCTAACGTTCTTTTACAACTTTTTCTTAATTGCTAAATTATACGACTAACGAAAATTAACAAATATCTGACCTACATAAGAATAAATGGTGTCCTCTAATGACTCGCAGAAAGATTCACAGAATGATTAAATTCGTCCAACGACGTCCTTGCATAATTACACGTAGCTTTTTCCTAGGTACTTATTCAAATTTCTGCCATCCGTAATATCGCACGTGTTTTGACTAGTTTCGGATCGATGGAGATCGTCCGTCTGATGTTCGGGGAAAAACAGTGAAAACGATCGTACGGCAATCTCGCTCTGACAAATAAATGTACACTATCTTTTTGCGATCGTAGACTTCGCAGAATATCCACAGTTGCATGTTTTCACCCGTGGTTAATATCGATAGGTGCATCTATGTGTACGAGTCTTGCCGAATATGAGGGCTTATCGAGAAACTATGATATTGAGATCCCGATGGAAAATAGAAGCTTTCGATTGCAACAGCAATATTGTATACATTTTTGCACTGTCGTAAATCTCTTTCGGGGATTGACCTAACGTCCCTACTTGACAAACAAACGCAGTACTGGTCTTTTCCCATCACAGTTTGCGAAGTTATATATGTGTAGTGAGTCGTCTTGTGAGTCCTGATCGAAATTGACTTTCCATTTGCTCCCGATGTGTCAGAAGCTTGCCCATCGTTCTCAAGTCAACAATCGTATTTGCGATAGAATAATGGTAGAACAACGGGAGCGTTTTGATTGAATACTTCCCTGTATACAATTGTACAACCGACCCCCTCTGCTCAGAAGTTCGGACAGTTCGGTAGTATATATCTGAACCTACGGCCTTATCGTAAATTCGTGTTAAGGATGCCTACGCACGCCTGTTACTGATAGGGACCTGGAATTTAGGTCAGATAGTATCCTCTAATAACGTCGCGCATTAATAGGCTTACTTGCGGCTACGGCTGATGCGCGATAGGGTGCATCGTATCTCTCGCGTCCCAGATTACCCGTGTACTTGAAAGCCTCTGAGCGGATACGTATGTGTGGATCCGCGCAATGTGAATGTGTTGTAACCGTCAGATTTTATGTTTATGTGTATATGATATTGTTTGTTGAAACCCATTTACGTCACAGAGATAAAAGTGATTCTTACAATTTTTCAATACTCTACCAAATCCAATAATAACTATTCGTATTTTTACTAGTCAATCTTCGCCATACTTAATTATCATAAACATATTTCTTTCGAGACAGTATGTAATGTTTTAGTTTAATTTTGTTGAAAAAATGTTGATAAAAATAATATAAAAAAATTTTTAATAATAAATGCTTTACTTTCTGCTAATGTAAACGTTTCTTGAGATGCAATCGTATTATTAAATTTTTTAAATCGAATCTATGGTGTCATCTGTGTATAAATTATTAAGACATGACTATCAATGTAGTATATTTACATTTTAGCGGGTAGACAAAGCGTATATGAAGCGTATACGAAGTCACATTTAAATGTCATCTGATAGAATAGAGATGAAAGTATAGTTTCGACCTTTTATCAAGTAGCGAGAGACAATGCATATACAGTACCTCTCTTGTTCTCAACTGTGGGTAGGATTGCAGATCCTCGATATTTACGAATGATTCCGCGTGCACGGATAAACGACTTCGATGCACACGAATGTCAAGAATATTGCATCGATAACCCGCGTATGAAATGCAGAGGAACCATTCGATGCATCGTCGTGTATGCATACGTGTATGGAGCATATCACGATCGATACCTCTGTTTCCTACTACGAGCATTCTCATATCTTTATGAAAGCTATTGCAAAACACACGCTGAAGACGAAACGAGAAACTTTGATAAGCGGAAATCGATCATTGAGCTTTGGCAAATTATATGGAATGCAAACAGATAACATAGTTCTAGAGGGCAATTTCACGAATATTTCACGTCTTGATAAATTGCATTTCGCACAGTGAATTATCGTTTTGCGCGTCAAAGACCTTTACTGTAGTATGTCTATGATTGCATTACGAGAAAATATTTGCTCGAAATTTCGTTACATCAAATACTCCATAACAACGACTGAAGCAGTACTACCTGAGTAAATGTTCGACCGAAGCTCCGGCTTCGTGTATGTTCTACTGACGCGACGCCTAATGTGCATAAATTGTAAACCGGAGAGGGTAAGAGCTGCTAAAGCGCGAGTGCATCATCGATAATCTGTTTCGCTTCCATCTAAGCCAAGGACCCTTTCAATCCTACTCATCGCTTTAAAATTTTTTATACGTATGTTCTTTTCTTAACCAAATTTTTTCATTATTTCATTTTCAATATATATGATGTAAAATACTTCTTTTTTTAATAGATTTATAAATATATACCGTCTATCTCTTTCTCATTTAATTACTTTTAGAGCCCTTCAACTTTTTCTCACATCTGGGAATTAATGATCTATATTTGATACACAAACCATTAATATGCACCCGTAATATCCACATTCGTATTTCAATGTAATTCGGGACGCTGCACGATAAACGTTTTTACGCATCGATGAGTGTTGTGGCATATATAGGTAGGAATTATGAGAACGATTGATCGTGTTTGCATCCCAATTAATAATTCGACGAATTCGTATACCATAATAATAGTTATTGCTGTTCCATTATGAAAATGCCCCCGCATGTTTGAATGTCGACCGGTTCTGGCTTATCCTGTTTCAGTACAAAGGTTCGATTTTCGGTTTATGGCGAGAAGCTCGATTGCTGAACGCATACTAATTTGGTACATGCGCCGATAATATACCGTTGGATCTGCTCGTGACAAACATAAAGGAGCTCAATAGCAAGGAATGTATCCATTAACTGCTGTTTCTAAAGAGAATAATCTAGCTGTGATCTATATATGTAAAACATAAAAATCATATATAATACTATCGAATTCAATTTACAATCTAAAAAAAAAAAAAAAAGGTAAAAGAGGATACAGAGAATAAACTGTTGAAAGAAACTTTTGTTTCTTAAAACTTCTCGAAAACTATAATTTTAAAAGATATCGGTTATCAAAACTTTCAATTTTCTGTATAATTTGAAACACAATATCAACGATATTAAGATATAAAAAAAAATTATCTGTATATATTTAATATTGTATCTTTATATATTCACGGTGAGATAGCTTAATTGCGGTAAATACCAGGAAACTTGCAGAATGCCCGATGTTAATAGGTGTCCGGAAGAACTCGTTGCAGCGGCGCTAAAGGGTCCTTTGTGGAGCTACGCATACGTTCCGAAATTCCGGCGTTGCTGGTACATCCACGTTCTCTGCACGGATATACCGGGCACGTTGTATCCGTCTATGTTGAAAGCGGAACTTTGAGGACAGGTTGAAAGAGCTGCCGTGCATTCTTCGAGGGCCGCTCGTTACGGGGGTTTCGTTACGAAGAATTTGACAGAAGAATTTGCTTCTGGACTGAAGCCAATCGAAACGTTCCTTTTGCTCTTTGAAAGAACATTTGATATTATCATGAAAACTATAACGTAGCATAAAGTAACGCGAGGCTCGCTCTATAACGAGAAAATATCTCATAAATATGTAAAATTTCTGAGATAAGAGATGGTTTGAGAAAATGCGTTGTATGTGTATGATCAATATCGCGAAAATTCTTCAGACTCTTGATATATGTGTATGATATATCAATAGCTTATTCTAGCAGCGTGCTGAAAATTATTACGTAAATTGCCACTTGTTAATTTTTAATAAATAATTTAAAGTTAAAATTGCAATGTGAAGATTGTGTATATCAAGCGATATATTTTTTATGTGTACTAAAATTTATATGATAAATAACACATTTCTTTATAAAATATTGACTATAACAAATAATTTCTATTATTACAGTTTAATACACCGAGATACGAGGCCAGAACCAGCGATACGATGTTCGACTCTGAGAGGAGCGACCAGACTACCGTCAGCACCAGACCATCGCAGTGAAGCTCGATTAAGGATAGACCCAAAGGTGTTGGTCTTCGTAGAAACACTGTACTCGAGGCTAGGCCGAGAGATAGCTGAGCTGCTAGTTTATAATCGAATAAAGTGAGTACGGACTATTTTTCTTTCGTACTGCAGGCTAGCACGAAGGATTGAACGGCCCTTCTCATTTATTGACAAAACAATTACGAGTCTATACGATCCACTGCAAACTATTTTTATTGCAACAGATAATTATAATTATAATTTATTTACCTAGACAGATAAAGCTTGTCGTAGATACCTAACCTACTTGCACCGCGTTTCGCAACACGTCTTTTATGCGCATCGACCTGATTCAGGAAAAAAGACACTCTAACGCGACCTAAAAGTAGGTCGTCAACGTAAGCTTTCTTCGGAGTTCTCGGCCGCAATAGTTCATACTATTAGACAAAAAGTATATGGCTAATGGCACCCAGTTGCTGAAGTCGATCAATATCGTGACACGTAGGTACTCCTAAATGTGAGAGTTCGCTAGTTCGCAATCCTTTTTATTCGTAAATGTTTTACTTCTCTTTCATGAGAAAGAAATAGTAAATGATCAAGAAATAGTAAATGAGTAATATTCCATGAATTTGAAGCAAACACTTTATTCTCGTATTTTTAACTATATATCGATAATAAATATACATGGTTACATTAATTCTCTACAAAAGTGTTTGCCAAAATAAATTCTACTACTCATCGAGGATTTATAGGAGAAAATTGTATTTTATTTGTGAAAAGCTACTCTGTGCTCTTTTATTTTTACAACAAAAAAAAAACTCTTGTTAGTGTCGCGAATGTTCATCGGGAGAAAATATTTCAACATTTTTGGGGGAAAAAAACTATTACCTAGATCTTGTTGTAATTCTCCCATAATGCTGATCCGAATTTTTCAAAAAATTCCCGGCATTTATAATTCCGCGACGGAGATTCCGCAAATCCCGGTTTTACTACATCGTCGGCGATGTTATTTCGTGAATGTCGGTATAAAAATTAGAAATGCAGATTTCTCAACCATCGTAAAGTCCGGACAGTTTTTACGTTATTATACGGGTTCCGCGAATATTTTAAAACCATTTCTGCCATCTAGAGAGTCAGAAATCGGCACATTGTCGATTCGCGAATATCGTGAAACCAGTTACCTCGATTCTTACAATCGCCTTATTAACTTTATACTCAATCCGATGTATTGAATCTTTTTATTTCGAAGAATTAAGTATCTTGAAATACCTTTTATAAAATCACCGCGAGAATGTCGATTGGAATAACGTGTACTAATAATAGAGAAGATATGAAGAGCGGCGGAAAGTAATCGCTCATTTAGAGCTAGATATTTCACATTTCAGTATGCAATTTTGCACGGTTACATGGATATTGTTAATATGTAACAATATAAATTGTTAACAGGTAAACATAGAGAGTGGTAGAATAAGTAATCTGAAATTTGGATGACTTGTTAAATAAATATTAACGTACGATAAATAGGGAAGGTACATAATATGGTACAACTATATAACGAAGCTGTATCGAGCGAAATTTCGTATCTACGTACAGCGCAAGATTTCACGTTTCCATTCCGCGAAAATTGCATGATATGAGCATGCCTGAAAAGTTCGAATTCGCTATTGAGGATATGGTATATCGCGACTTCATGATGTGCATTCCTTAAACGGTAATAGCCGAGCCAAAAGCCTGTTATAGAAGTCGAGGGAGGACCACTCGAAACTTTGACGCTCGATGGGAGAGAGAGAGAGCTTAAGCCGGATATGTCCTCGGATTTCGAAATAGGATAAGGTCCTGAGAGAGATCGAAAGAGGGAGAGAAAGAGAGAGAATGTAAGATGGAGAGGGAGAGAGAAGGATAGGCGGAAGTCACCTACGTATTCTCTCTCGATTATCTCCCGATTCTTCCGCAGTTGATCAAATAATAATGTCGGGATAATGCGATCCGTTGCTTGCTTCCGCAGGCCTTGGTGCTTATCGGGAATTATAGTGGCGCAGCAGCGTGACACGGTGCACATGAGAGAGCACATTGTAGTTTAGAGCACAACACGAGATAGAGACGAATAGCGATTAGGGGACTTGCACCATCCTTCGCCGTAGGAGGAACGAATAACATGCAGCGTATAACACGGCTCGATACCGAGTGAACATGCGGGGTGTGCGTATCCTCGTAAACTGGCGTGCGATGGAGCAGTTCTCACCTGTGAGTTAGAGAGAGGTAAAGCATCGGTATGCCGATATGATCGGAAAGGTAACCAACAGGCCGGGTATCAGTGATACGCGCGCGCTCACGAGAGCACGAGGGAACCAAGCTCGTCGCGGTGGTATCTCATTTGCTTTATCCGGCGCAATTTCATAATCGATACCGGTGCCTGAGGGATAGGGGGAAGGGGGCAGGTGATCGTCCACGCTGGCCGCATAGCATCCCACCTATATGTACAGGCAAATTTTGTTGTCGGAGATTGCGAAGTGCAGATATGGAAAGCGTCGCGCCAGATCGTGTTTCGCCGCGAGCCGCCGTACTATATGTACACGTACGAGTACGTCGACGCACAACGGTGTACATAATGAAATATTTATTGATGCGCCGTTCCCTTTGCGTGTAGAAGAGCATCACTATGTCTGCCTTACGCCGTGTATATACATGCACGTAATGCGATATGGAAAAGTTTTGAATCTGGGATCCAGCTGCGCGCTAGATAAAATGCGATATCTTGCCCCGGGATACTCTTTCGAGCCCGGGACGTTAGAAAAATAGGGGCGGAGTAAGAAGTTTCTATAAGCGAGTTGAGTTTTCAACCCATTTTACCTTACATACGAACAGCGTCTGTTTTATCTTGCCTGCAGCTTTTATTGCTTATTAACTGCTTTTATGTGCACTCATATTGTTTTATCGATTATGCCCACATCACAAACGATGAATAATGCAAACACAAAACACACAAGATGCTTCAAATTACTGAAGATCTATTCTGTCGACTTTTACGTAGGGAATTTTATAAGATACGAAATGAATATTAGAATGTATACGAGGAACTGCTTGGTATTGAAAATTAATCTCTTTATGGAGGTAAACTTCAATATAAGACAAGTTACAAAGGAAACTTTTACAAAGAATACAGAAATTCCGATTTGATACGACTTCCGACGCATATAAAAATCAATCAAACAGTCAAGTGTCAATTGTGTTTATCGCCGATATTCTGTACTCGACACATGACAATCAATCGAATTTTCTTTCATTTCTCACGATAGATTTAGTTCATTGATAGATTTCTCGATGCATCTATCTATCAAGAAGCTTTCGATAAAAGTTTGCGTGTTATCAGCGTGAAGAAAAAAAGTCTTCTATTTCTGAATCGAGAGAACGATGATATCGATTACGCTACTCTAACACCAGCATGTCATCTCCCTCGAGTTATGTATATTCCAATACTAACATAGTCTGCGCGACATGGTCTTCGTTAAGCTGGGATCACACGATGCATGATTTCTTGAATGATAAGCATGCACCTGCTTCGATGCATGAACATGTTCTGAAGGTGTGATCCACTTAACGCTGCAAATGTTTGTTGATTAATCAGATGAAAGAATCTTACGAATCGATCAATCAAAAAATACTTCAAAGCATTCGCAGCTTTAAGTGGGTTGCACCTCTACACGAGAAGAAGGATTTTGTTGAAAATTATATGTAAAAATTTAGCTAGCTACACACACACACACACACACAAATCTGAAAATAATTTTGTTTTGAATAGCGAGATAATTATACGTGGGAATTTTAAGCATGATGAACAATACTACGAAAAGTTTTGACATTCTTGCAACCAATTTGAGCGTGCCAATTTTCTAACAGAATTATTTTTAGATCTCAGTATCTAATTGAATTTTTTAATATTTCAGCAAACTCTTTCTGTATAAAATACATGCATCGGAACAGCCATAGTAGTATATACGCATACTTATCATTCAAGAAACCGTGCGTTGTTTGATTCTATCTTTAACCGCGGCATTATCGACGAGGGAAAAAGATGGCGACCGTGCAAAGGATAAATGTTCTACGTCGCGTATCGTCGAGGCAAGCGCGCTGATCAATCCCTGTGACGTGTATTTTTTCATCACACGCATCGGCGAGTTTCATCTCGAATCCGTCTTTTTGTTTCGCGACTCATCTCGCCTTTGTTCCGTCACGCTTCCGGCGCACGTTATCTCGCAGTTTCTCTTGATTTCTCGCCCGTTTCTCGTGTATTCGTTGGCTCGTACGAAAAATAGATGAATAGGTAGTGTCACGGATCCGAAGGTGTCTTGACGGGAACAGGCGGAGACGTCGCGGTGTTAAGCTATCTTACCTTATCGCACACGAATTACGGCGGCGCATTTTTCGTTTCTCCATAATTTATAGGAGAGAAAACGCGGGTGTTATGTACACGTGCCCGCTGTGTGTACACGCACGGAGCTGAATTTTTGATAGCAGCTGCGCGCTCATCTCCGTGATTTCCGGCACACACGTTATAATATGCGCGATACGGTCGTTCGCGCGGAAGTAACATCTCAGTGCGGAGATATTTCGGAATTACGGGGAAAAATATGCAGCGTTTATTCAGCCTTTCGCAGGAGAACCGCACCGATGGTGCTTCGAGGGACATCGCGCGCGCTGTGCCGTTTATTTTCAGACCGTAGAAGAAAATCAACGTCTGTCACGTAAACCCCGCTATTTATATCAAGCCAAGTTGCGTACAACGTGTACAAGTGTCGCGTAATTACTTGAGATATTGCCGCCTTGAATAAGATAAAGAGGTATTGTACATTCTTGAGAGAGGTACAACGCCGCCCGCGTTACAAGGTTTGATTTCATTCCTTAGTCGCTGCAGCTTCCACCTAGTACAACCGAGAACTCTTGATATATTACCGGCATAAATTCTTGTAATTTAGAAAAATACGTAAAACGTAGGTAATTATACGATAGTTGTACTGTTAGAGAATTGCCGGTATTTATTTAGGTACAGGGAAATTTTATAACACTATACTATGACGATGACTGTTCGGTCTCTTGTTTTATATCGTATTTCTTTTATCTCC